TTAAAATTGTCTTGCATTTTTTGATATTAAATTGTTTCTTTCTGTTAACTAAAGCAATGCAAGTTTTGTAAGGTATGCAGTTGGGTTTCCCATAATTATTCACAAGTGAATCTTTAAGGTCTCATGTTCGTTTATTTCCTGTTACATGATGCTGGCTTCAGTTGAACAATGTCATAACTCAATTGTAATAGTTAATGTGATTTTACCAATTCAGCCGATTTGCTTGTCATGTGTTGGTTTGATTGTGCAAAGGTAACATGTGTTTGATGTGTGGAGTTTATCTATTTGCAGGGATGTCTTGGAAGCTAGAGATTTGGAATGCAAGGCATGGGCTCATGTTGAAAGTTTGAAGTCCTCTCTTGATGAACACACCTTGGAATTACGAGTTAAGACAGCAAATGAAGCTGAGGCCATTTCTCAACAAAGGCTCGCTGCTGCAGAAGCTGAGATTGCTGACTTGAGACAGAAATTCGAAGATTCCAAAAGGTATACTTTTCTGATGTGGTCAAACTGTTTTTCATTTAGTTATTTTGTATGATAGGAAACATAACTAATTTAGTAAAAATGAGTAGAAACACGTTGAACCAATGTTCCACCTAAAGATGTCTCAACAATACAATACATTGGAAAAACAGATTACTTTCTGATCAAGAAGCATAAACAAAAACACATGCAGGCCAAAGAACCCTAGAGAAGCCCAAGATACTGTTGATTCCCAGTTCACATTATTTATTATTTGTACTTATCAAGTCTCAGTGAGGTAAAATAAGGAGATAATATTATTATTTAACTACTACAAGGGTTTACTTTGAACCTCCAGACTATATTTAAAGTATCAGAATAATTTTGCATAATCAATTAAGCCTTTGGCCACTAAATGGGATTGACAATTTATGCTGCTGTCAGCCTTGTGCGACACTCTGCCTTTATCTGGGCTTAAAACCTGCTTGTTACAATGTTAAACTCTAAGCAAAATGCAGGTGGAATTATAACTTATCTATGGTTCTTTATGGTAACTGGTAGACTATATTTGCTTAGGCAGTTCCTAGTTCTCGATTGACATGATTATTGTGTAGATGATTTGTTTTTTCCCTTCTCAATATTTCAGGGATATTTTGAGACTTTCTGATGCTCTGAAGTCCAAAAATGAAGAAAATGAGGCATACTTATCTGAAATTGAGGTTAGTTCTCTTCTTTATATGCGGACGAGATCTTTCATTTGTCATTGGATAGTTCTGACATTTTAGTTTGATTTTCTTCAGACAATTGGACAAGCATATGATGATATGCAAACTCAAAACCAACATCTACTGCAGCAAATTACTGAGAGAGATGACTATAACATTAAGGTGATTAACTCAGCATTTCCTTGTATCAGAAGGTTTGTGGTGGTGTAGATTTTGTATCCTATAGTACAGAAAGGAAAAAAAAAAAACACAGGCAATTACAGCATACAAAATGAATAACTATGCATAAAGTTTCTAGCATGGTTGAATTTTGATGACGTTAACTATGTATTTATTGTACTTTAAATGTCAAATTATATGATAGGATAAAATTAATAATATTTAACAAATAACTTGTTTTTTTTGTTGTTGTTGTAAAAGTTAGTTACTTTTATTTTAAAAAAAAATTATTTTGAGTATTATTAGGAAAGGCTTGAACATTTTCTTAAAATTGGTTACTTTATATTGATTATGGTTCTTAAGAATAATGTAAGCATGCATCTTTCTCAGAAAAAAAAAGGATGTTATTAATATAATTTTTCATTAATTCCTTTGGTTTTATTGTTTTTTAAGTTTCTTAGGAATAAATCTTTTAGTTTCTCATTGTTGTTGGCTGGGACGTGAGATAAATATAAAATTGTCAAATGCAACAAATGTGATATTGACTTCTTGATTATGACTTTATATTTAATAAATAGAGCTCTGGTTTAAACCCATGCAATCAGAAATGAACAAATTCTTTTTAAGGTAAAGACACATTATTTTATTTGGCTGGTTTGAACAACCCTGATCATCAGGGCAATTAGTTCCCGGTTAACTGAGTTGGAACAGTCGGTCTGAATCTTGTTTCTAAAGGTGTTCTTTTCATTGGATATTTTTCTTTTTGTGATGTCAACGCCTACCAAACTATAATTTTATTTATTTATCTGCCTCATCCAAACTGTTTGTTTGGATGAAGTTATATTTGAAATATAATTGGCAACCTTTGAAAATGCCAGTAATGCATGGAACGGAAGGTTAGTAGTATTTTTTCCTTTGCCAGATCTATGCATGGATCAGTGTACATGTGGTAGGCTAAATTGTTGGATTATTATATACACGTTCTAATATTAAGCTTCAATTTGCGGCTCTCTTCTTTCAGCTTGTTTTAGAGGGTGTGAGGGCTAAACAGCTGCAGAAGGCTGTACTCATGGATAAACGGAAAATGGAGAGGGAGATTCAACAAGGCAATGCATCTCTTAATTTCTATAACATGAAAGCTGCTCGAATTGAAGATCAGGTATTTCTAAACCTCCTATAAAACTTGAAATAAATTCATATGGAGTTGAGCTGAACTGATTGTTTGATACTTTCTTTACAGTTGAAAATGTGTAGAGATCAGATTCAGAAACTAGCAGAAGATAAGTTTCAAAGAGCAATTACATTGGAAAATACTCAAAAGAGATTGTCGGATGTCAGGAAGTCATCTCAGCAGGCACAGGAGGCTCTAGAGGAATCACAATCTAAAGTTGACAGAAGTCGAATGGGTCTGTCAGAGCTGCAGATAGAACTAGAGAGGGAAAGGTATAGTGGACGTTCTGCTTCGCTTCCTTCCAATCTTTTATAATGGTTGCGTGACCTCATATTTTGTTGTTTGTTAGGTTTGAAAAGAAAAGAATAGAGGAGGAATTGGAAATTTTAAAAAGAAAGGCTTCACGGCTTCGAGCGCAGACAGAGGGTTCATCAATTGTTGAAAAACTTCAACAGGAACTTGGAGAATACCGGGAGATACTGAAGTGTGATGTCTGCCTTGACAGGACAAAACAGGTATCTGTTGACTCAACTTATATTTATTTAATTCCCATTCCACATTTCTTAGCTTTTTGGAGGTGAAAATGTCCAAATATTGGATCCTAGTCAAGTAAATATGTGGACCAACATGGAAAATGTGAAGGTGGGTATGACTTCCTGTGAAATTTATAACATCCTACAGCACTTTTGTAATGAATTAGGGCATTAAATGATACATGAAGCATCACAAAATTTGTGGATTTAATTTTAAACTGAGACAACTTCTATGAGGAAAGGTTGCACATTAATATCCATTTGTGGTTTTAAAATCTTTTGCTATTTAATATCTGTTTAGAGACCAGTCGGTCAGAAATTTCATGCTTACTATCATTGTCATTGTTATAATCATCATTGTGGTCATCATTATTTTGGCGTTTCTGGCATAGCGCTTAGTTTCTTTTCTTTATCTTAATGCCAGGTTGTCATTACAAAATGCTATCACTTGTTCTGCAACCCTTGTGTGCAAAAAGTAATTGAAAGTCGACAGAGGAAGTGTCCACGGTGTTCCATGAGTTTCGGCCCTAATGATGTTAAATCTGTATACATCTAAAAGGAGATGGATGAAACGTTAATGAGACCTGCATCATGCATGTGCTCCAGTGCATATGATCCCAGACATGAATTATGAATTCCTGCAGATTCCCATGTAATTGTTAAATTAGTGAAATTGTAGAGAAGCCTTTGTTTAGGAGCAGCTCTCCTTCCCTCATCAAACAGTCTTAGTTTTGCAGGTTCTGCTTCTAGGTTGTCAATTTAACTCAATTTTCTAGTGCAGAATAATCTTTTGCCCCTTTTAACTGCCTGGAGCCTGGAATCTTTCAATTTATCGTTTTCAGATTTATCCAAATGACCCATTGAGATTGTATTCCCGGTGGCGATGCAGCCTGCATGATCGTAAAAAGAATAAGATTTTATGTTCGTAAGTCAAAAAATGGGGTTCTCTGATTTGCACTTGTAGTCAGTGTCTTTCCATTCGAGGGTTTTGTTTCTTGCCGAAATTAGATGAACCTGCAACTGAACTTTCGGCTGTACAGATTTTACTAGATGTTTAGGTAGATCTTTTCAAGATGTTTGGTGCACAACATTTCTTTAGCGATGTAAATGTTCTTCAGATGGATTATTCATTTATTTATAAATGCAAAGATCTCAGTTTTGATAATTTCTTCTTAGTAGTTTATCTGCAAATTTTCTTGTTCTTATTTGGACGTTTGGTTCAAGCCTTCATGGTTGGCATTTGTAGACCTGTGGGCGTTCTTTATCCTTGTTTCTTTTATTATTTGTTCCGAAGGGATTTTGTTTGTTCTATTTTATGTTCTTACCCCCAAAAAAAAGGAGAAAAAAGCTTAATAAGCCTAGTCACCCTTTGATCAGATTGAATTGGATTGGGATGTCCATAATTCAATCTACATTGGATTGTATGCGAATTGGCTAAACATTATTTGTTTTGAACCTGAGCACCCCTGGATTATTTGGACAATTTTTTGGTTCATGTGATTTCTGATACACTTCCTCGTGGCATAAACCTTAAATCCCAAAGTTCCAAACTACAAAAACCAAAAATGCACATGCTCATTCTATCTGCCATTTTGAAGGGAGTTTCTAATTCATAATTGACGAACTTCAGAAGTACAGGAGCGCACGGTCAACAATTGAAAACATAAGAACCAGAGTTAAAAAATGGTCTGAACAAAAGTAGCACACCTTTCGTTTAGGGGTTTTTTTTTTTTTTTTTTTCCCATGTCTAGAGAGGGTAATTGAGCTAGAAAGTTGATTGAGGACGTAACATGTCGAGTGAGACATAGGGTAGTATTACAGTGGAAAGTGGATTATGGATTTTAAGATTCATGTTAACCCCAGAAGCAAGCAAATTGTTTATCCGAAAATCTCCTCATGTTAGGGTTACTATTCCATTACCACTAAAACAAAGCACAATCACAATCGCAGTAGAAGAAGACTGAATATTATATACTGTGTTTTGCATAATATGAGTAGGAGAAGTTATGTGCAGAGTTACATAGTTAACTTGGGATGAACATCACCCTATCAAACAATAGATGGGAGATTATGCACTGGAACACATACCAACACCGCAGAGAATTTAACATAAACAATTTAGCCATCTGTACAAGCAGTCAAACATAATGCAATTGGGAGCAGATTTTGAGGATACGTCAAATACGGTAGTCTCAATGATAATATCTTTAACTTCCAATTCCGATCCACTTCGTCCTAGTACATTTACAATCCCCTGAAAATACAAACAGAAATCCAGTAAAGTAGGTTATAAACAATGACATGCAGCAACAATTTTTCTTATTGGAGGGGGGAAAAAGGCCATCCCATACAAAGCCCAGTTGGTAAACAAACCACTGTCCAGCATCTAAATCAGTCTTAGGAACATGAAATAAAATTTTGGACATGCTATAGAGAAGGAATCTTTTTTTCCCTTTGGAAAGTACATTCCTACTGTAAATTTGAAACACATCTGAATAGATTTGTTTCATAAACTTTTAAAAAACAATAAATCTACGGAACTGAATAAAGTGGTCTAGAGTCATGACTTCCTGCGGAAGAGACTGTCCCACAATATGATGGGAAGATAGCAGAACTTTTGGTTGGTTCCAAGGTCTTCTGACTTGCAAGAATAAAAGAGTTGAAAGTAGACAGAATGAATGCTTGGTTATGTGAAGAACAATAAAATCCCTTTCTTACTCTAGATTTACCTTGCTTAAGTTGCTAACTGCTGGAGCTGCCAAGATCAAAGTCCATCGTATAGTCATATTCAATAGTTGGAATTACAGAGGCAACAAATTTCAAGAATAAGAAAAGGTACCTACAAAACAAAAACTTACAACGATAAAAAAGTTGTTGCATTGACAGTTCAAGGTGCTGGTCTAGTAAATCATGACAATAATGTTATTGCAGGATCCATATCTGACAAATTGATGATGGAAGAGTATGAGATGTTTTTATCGATATTATCCCGCATGCTCAATACAGCCATTCTGACATAACCTTATTTTCAGAACAAACCTATTTTGACTCTTAACTAAATTATATAGCTTTTATATGTGATTCGATTACTTGATTGGTGTTATTAATTGGCAATTATCTACTCGATACATTTTATAGATCAACAATTCTTTTACAACCCGTACGGGGGACACCTCAGTGCTTATGACCCATAGGGCCTTGGTGGTGTTAACTTTTCAAATAGCAATAGAAAAAAAAAACTAAAAAAAAGAATAACTAATAAAATCATTACGTGACAAACAATTAGCCTGTGTGTGTGTAAAGGCATACAAATGGGTGAGTCAAGATGGGAAATTACTTATCAACTTCTGGTTCCACTCCACGTGACATAAGTACATCAATAATCTTTTTCATCACAGCTCCATGTCGGCATGGATGGACAGATGCATGCTTTCCAGGCAAGTGGGGATGGTCCTCAATTGTTACCTGTGTCCAAATGATTGAATGTCAAAGCAACGATTTAACCACCAAAGCAATAAATAACCAGCTTACTGCATAGAAGACAGAACAAAATTATCACACTTAACAGCTAATGTTTAACACTATCCCATGGAAGAAAGTAAGTGCATATTGAGTAAAAAAATAAAACAAGGAAGAAGAACACAAGAATCTAGATAATATCTTCATCAATTCCCTGAGTTGGAAAGTTCTACCTAGAGAAGTTAAGCAATAAACAACAAACTCATAGCCTAAAAAGGGTAACATCAATAAGTCAAACACTTTATGAACAATTGTGCCCTGTAAAATGAAGTAAACACATCCTCTTTATGTGGCATTATCCATAAGGCATGGTTTCACACGAGACTGTCAAAACAGATACAAGCAAGGAATAATATGATTCTGAGGAATCAACTCACAGTTTTGCGTGCATGATCTTGACTGACATCTTCAAGTACGAGCTCTGCTTGTAAAAGCATCCTTGACTAACAGCATTAGAAATGGAGTTCAATTAGTCTTTGAAGTCTTTATATCAGCAAAAAGTTACATTTTAGAGAAAACGAAATTAGACAAACTGAGATACCAACACAAATATAAAATTTTAATAAGTCTAGAAACATGTAACCATAAACCAACTCATACATTCTAATAACCAATTAGCCAGAGACCAAGGCATAACCAGGATTGAGGAAATATAAAAAATCAGGTACCTTAACACAGCCTGGAACTGAAACAAAACACTGGTTTTATTGACAGTATTTTTATTTTTTATTGTAGGTACAGTAGCAGAAACATCTTTTCTAAAATTGATTGTTTACTTTTCATCTTTATTTTGTTAAGATGAACTGGATCTTTAATTATTTAATTGTAAGTGTACTTACAGGTACCAACCCTAACAGTATTGAGCACCACGCCAAAGAAAATACGGGGAGGAGTAAGTTTTTTTGCACGACATATATATGTATATTACCTATCATTAAAAACAATACACGCACACTCTAGAGTAGCAAGTGAAAAATGAATACATGCCAAACTGAGCCAAGGACTTAATTGGGGCTCAGCTGGATAGTATGCTTTCGTTACTACTCAAGCTTGAAGTTGATCCAGGGACCCTCCAGTTAGCTGTCAACTTATTTTATTAGTATCTCTGATGGAAGAACTTGGTTTCCAACACTCAAATAAATTTTAACAGTTTTCAGGCACAAGATCATAGAAAAATACAAGTGACCAAAGAATATAAATGACAAAAAGAGAAAAGCCAAATGGTTATGAGTCTATTTTATTATTCGGCTCCATAAGTCAAGCTAGGAACCAATTGAAACCAACGTTGCTGTTTCCAGTGAATTTTCTGGCTGTCGCTCCAGACGATTGTGTTCCTTTAGCTGTTACTTAATGTTAGTTGCGTGCTAACGTTCTTTTGTATATGGTGGACTGCTTGTTCGCCGCTCTTGTAATTTTGGCTTTGTTTTAGATAAATATTTTGTATTTCTTTTCTTTCTTTTTTTTTTTTTAAAGAAAAAAGAAGAAAAAGGAAAGTAAAAGGACTTCACTCGTTTTGAAAGAAAACTCAAAAACAGACTCCAGCTTGACTCTGTTGAGCTAGAGAACGATCTGAACATGTAGACTTCAACTGACTCAAGTTGAATACCAAATGACAGCAATTCTTGATAATAAAAAAATTTGGAAAAGAAAACAGCTAAACAAACCTCATCATACCCAGTCAGCCACACTCGAGGAGTTTGGTAATATTTATCATACCTGAAAGTGAGTAATATCAATTAAGCTATTGATGCCAACATAGAATTAGCTACAGAGACCAACAAATTGAAGTGAACTTCAATTGCCTTATAATTGAGCTATCAAGAAAGCAACACTTTATTACCAAAAACTTTGAAATAAAAAGCAACCATTTCTCCAAAAGGCAACATGCTTCTAAGTTCCACATGGGGAAAATATTGGACCTGGTCAACAGTTCAAAAGAAAACGAATCTTACGTAATGCTGACATCATAGGTTCGTGTTCGTAAAATATTGTCATCTTCAGGTTCATGAGCAATAATATAAGTTCCCTGCAATTTAAGACAAACCCAAAAATTCTTAGCTCTCTACGATATATTAACATCATTTTCATGGTTGAAAGCAAAAATTAACATCCTGTGCAAGAGACTAGGGAAGAAGGTTGCTCAAGATCTAGATTAGATAACATATAAAAATAAAGTTTCAATGAAATATCAAATCCTTCTCTATAACTATCCCCCTCACTCCTACCCAAACAAGAGACTCTTACCCTCCTCCATCTCTTATTTTGTTTGCACTCATTAAAATTGCATACAAACTATTTTTATCATAAAATTAAGTAATTTTAAGAAAGTATTAAGACTGGGGCATAACCCAATTGATAGTCACACCTCTTGTTTAAAGAGGAGGTCAAATTTCCCTCCCTGACGTTGCTACTAATCAAAAGAAACATAAATAAACTATATCATGTGTATTGAACAGGCTACAACATGAAACTTATCAACGAGTAGACCCAGCACAAAGACATGAAGTTTTAAAGAGACGAACTATCACTGCACGCCAATTAAACACTTACAGGATCTATTTCAATGTTGTCAGCTTCTTCATAGTCAGCCATGTCAGGAATATCGTCTTCATCTTCCCCTCCAACATGTGAAGGGGCCAACTTCACAGCCTTATTCTTGCTGATTTCTAAACTTTCAATGGAGGGTAAGTTTTCCTCCTCGCAACTTCTATCTTTTAAAGATAAGAGATAGTCTGAGTCAATGGTTCTACGAAAATACTTGTGTACTTTAACCAAAGTAACTTACCCTTTGGCTTCCCATGGGTTGCCAACCAGCCATCATTATCTTCATTATCAAGAAGAACTTCCATACCAGCAGCTTCATACTCCTCTTCAATAGATGCAGCCCTCCGTAAGCAAGGGACTGAATAAGAAGTAAACAGATCACCCCATGTAATTAAAGGTACAGGGCAGCGATAAGCAAGGGCAGCAGTTTTCTTTAAGTTTATACTTGAGAGAGAGAAACCCCACGCGCACACACAATACTGGGCAGTTAGCTCAAATGGTTCTTGATTCAATGAGGATTAACTCCAACCAACTGGATTGCTTGAGCAAACTTTTTAACTTTTTGGAGGCCAAAAACAGAGTATAAGACAAAAAATCTCTTTGCTTGGTTTTCTTTCATTTACAGAAACCATGAAAAGGATCACTATAAAGGTGACATAAATCAATGATTAAAATGAAAAGGAAATTATACAAAACATTGAGCACTAGCAATATTATTATGCCTGAATATTATAATCCCCAGTAGCTATTAATAACAAGATGAAAATTTGTCGCAGGAAGTGGGAAAAAACAAAAGGATTGCAAAGAAATAGAGTAGTGTGATGTCATCATACCATTTCTAGTAATCAAATACTGCTTTTCTGGTGGTAAGTATGGCTTCCTCTTGCTTGGCTCACCTGATTCCCTAACATGATATGAATCGAAAGGAAAATACCAACCAAAAAGTAAGATATCACCTCAAAACCTTGTTCGTAAAACAAAAATAAAGTGATGAGAAGATACAAAAGAACTAAAATCCAAAGAAATTAAGAATTGTAGCCATCACTAATAAGACTCTACAGTCTAAATATGTAATAACTATTCAACCAGCATATTTGAAAACTCTAAAACAGGCTGCTTCCTCTAAATTCAAATTATCAGAATACTTAATCAAACAAAGTTGTTCTTGTCTCTACTTTCTTTCAGCTATTTTCAAATAAATTTACATCCCTTTTCCTTTTTAAATTTCATCTTCCTGTACTTTTACTGAATTTGTTTTAAAACAAAAACCCATAAACCCAATTGATAGATGGTTTTTTTTATTTCATTCAACCCTGCAATTCAGCCAAGTTGATTGACAGAATCAGTGGCAAACTCTTAAAACCCTCGCTTCACTTCCCGAACTTTATTTTTTCAACAAATTCATAATAGCCATTAGTCAAAAATGAAAAACCATAAACAATCCGAACATAAAGATAACAAATTACAATCAAGTAAAATTAAAATATCGAATTTTACAATAAATAGAAACAAAGGAAAGGAAAATACCAAGACCAGGTGGGGCACTTGGAGACGAGGTTATCACCAGCAGTGACGAACTCGGTGACGCTGAGAACACCCTTTTCTTTGAAGGCTGAGACCGTACGAGGCCCTGTGATTTTCTCTACGGTCCCTTTGAAGGCCTCGTGAAGCTTCTGCGACAGAACCATCCTCTTTCTTTTTCTACAGAAAATAAAAATCGCTGCTTTTCTTTGCTTTCCTTCACCAACACAGAGAGAGAGAGAGAGAGAGAGAGAGAGAGAGAGAGAGACTCTTGGGAGAAGCGATTTCGTGCGTGGTAACGACAGATGATACCATGTGCATGGTTCTGTCGTTTATTCGCGGAACGACGTATTCCAGGGGAAAACTAAGACGACGCCGTTTAGGTGAGTTGCTGCGCGTTCAGCTTTGGGCAGTTTTAGTATTTTTTGAAAGAGATATTAATAACTAGCTAATAATGATTTATTAAATTAGTTCGAATATGAGAAATTGCATTAAATATTGCAGAGCGTTTATTTTGAAACAAAATTTGATTTTGTTGATGCCAAATCTTTCAACAAAGAGTAAAAGAGCTTTGCTAAAAATAAAATAAACATCTATAATCGAAAATCAAATTAAAAACCTGTAAATGAACCTGATTCGAATCCAATTTGACATATTGGGTTCATATTGACAGTTCGATTTGGCTCGACTCATTTACACCTCTACTTTCTGTTTGATACTAATGAAGAAGCAAAGTGTCTACCTTTGCAATGTTTTGAAGGATATACAACAAATTGTAGTTTGATCTTGGCCATACGGGTGCAAAGTGATTGACATACTCTTTTTGAAGACTCATTTTACAATGTTTTGAAGGAAACAACTTAGGGGCTTCAAAGTAGTCCTTATCTAACTTTTTTATTTTGGTCAAATCATTATCTAACTTCAAACCCAATTCCTCCACATCCTATGTTTGTAATGGTACTCAGTGTTAGTTTTGTCACAGCCCAAGTACTCAGCCACTTTCGACCACAAAAACAAAAACAAAAACAAAAGTGCTCAGCCACTATCTGCATCTTGCCCATCAATCCTATTCTCCATATTTAACGTATCACCAAGATATTCCACATGATGGGGCCATTTTCTAAATTTATGGGGATTTTTCACTCTCTTTTAGTGCATTGCAGTAACATTTCATATCACTTGAGACATTTGGGTTTTATGATACTCAATGCATTGCACTATCGATTCTGCAAAGTATAAAATAACAACAATAATGCAAAACCAACAAATTTAAATCCCAAATTTACACCTTAAATTAAGCATATGAAACTAATGATTTATTGTACAATAGTTATAGGCATGAGATTATTACACATAAACCTTAAATCCTAAAGTTTCGTACTAAACAAACCAAAATTGTAATTGATGAATCTTTGAAGAATCTATAATAAAGAGTAATTTTTGCATGTTCCGAATACACCACGTGGTTGGTGTACCCTCCAATACACATGGAACATGTGGAAACTTTATCAAACCAATCGGAATCATGATATTACATTGGTTCCGTGTGACCGCATATCTAAAATGAACCAACCCCTACATGTCCCACGAACAACGGAATAGGCTAAAAATTTATGGTTGGTATAGCATCAATTAAGGTTAAAAAAGGAATCCCATCATGACAAAATATGTTCATATATAGTAGTTTCACAAAAATGCAAATCGATCTTTTCAAAAAAGCTCAAATCATAATCCCCATTATCATACTCACATTCACAAAAATTAAAATCCATAACTATGTCAATACATGAATTTGACAAAAAAAAATTCAAAATAAAGTTTCGCATTTGCATTGCTTTTAACTAGTTTTTATATATAAAAAATCTAGTGACTAAAATGGTATTTAACCTAACAAACTTAACATAAATCAAAAGTCTTTAAATTGTAAACTTTTGATAATAGAGTGACCAATTTAGCTAAATTTGTTTTTAAGTGACAAAATTAAAATTTCGTGTAAAATCTAGTGACCAAAAGAGTATTTTATTTCTTTTTTTAGGAGAATCACATTTTATATTTTTCATTAGTTTTTTTTTTTGGTCGGAATATTGTTCGGCCAACGACTCTTTGGGTCTTAAACGTTGCCTCTGTCGGCCTTTCTGTGCAACAGTCCACCAGTAGCGGAGGAGAGGGTTACCGTACATACAAGAGTCTCCTTGCTCCACGTTTTTAGGTAAGTAAACCTTCGTTATAACATTCCTTTTCTTTTTAGGTAGGTAAGAATAAGAACCTGCAACTTGAATCGTGTAAGCATTACCCAAGATTCCCCATTCGACTAGGATTGGTTCAGCTTTCCTAGCAAAGCAATACATTTTCTTTCTTATAGGCTTGTTTGTCACGTCTAATTTAGGGTTTTGCTCTTGCAAGGATCAATTGCGTGCTTTACACGGCACGGCTGCTGGAGTTGAAGAAACCGAAAATTTTGCTCCTTGTCTTTAGTTGAACCATAAAATAAAGGCTATTGGAACCTCCGTCTTCCGTCGAAGACCTCCTTCCTCTTCTCGACGTAAGCTCCAATTCCCTTTCGAATGGTTACGGTTTTCTATTTCGTTTTCTTTTCGAACGGTGAAGTTTGTGCCTTTCAGTGGTTTTTGTTCCTTTCTGTGTGGTTATTTTATTATACTCCTTTCTGTGTGGTTAGTTGTCAATTTAGTGAAATGAGTTTCGAATTTTATTGTTATGCAAGCTTCTGATGTGGGAATTAAGTGGTTTGATACAATTTCCACGGTTGTATTTTTTGGCGATCCGTTCTAAAGTCTTATTCCCATTTTAATCTTGCGCTGCATGTTCATGTGATTGATATTGCTTGTATTATCGGTTATTCTTCACCTCTTTAAGCTTTAGGCACGAACAATACTTTCATATGCCATGCATGAAGTCCTAGGTAGCCTTTCTATGCCGTAATGTTGTGTTTTCATGAGGTTGAGGACGAGGGGTTTGAGTCTCTAGCTCACTTTCCTCTTAGGCTTCTTAGTATTTTACTCTTTTTATCCCTCAGTGTGAACATAACACAGGTCTAAAAGCGGTACGTTAATGTCAATTAGGCCTAGCCAAAGTAAAAGTAAATGATGCATATTTTTGTGGTTTCCTGCACAGTGGGATGATAATATGGTTTATGCATTTAATGTAATACCAATTAAGTTTTAATTTTTAAGAATGGTGAAGGTTTTAGATAATTTTAAGCTTAATTTTTATCATAGACATTGCTAATAGAAATCATTATTGTTTGCAGTTTCTGTAAGAATACTGAAATGGCAGCCAAAGATGCGAAGAGCTTCGTAAGGAGAGACACACTCAGAAAGATTGAAGAAAAGATTCAAAATTTGTGGAAAGAACATGATGTTTACAGGGCCTAATCTCGTGAAAAGCCTCCTGAGCTAGGGGAAAAGTTCTTTGGGAACTTCCCGCTCCCTTACATGAATGGTTTTTTGCATCTTGGACATGCATTCTCACTCTCAAAGCTAGAGTTTTTCTGCACGTTATCATAGATTAAGAGGTGCCAATGTCCTCTTGCCTTTTGGTTTCCACGGAAATGGAATGCCCATCAAAGCCTCAGCATCGCACAAGAGATCCAACAGTTTGGACATCCACCAGTCTTTCCTAGCAACAAAGAGGAGAAAGGGAACCATCAGGAAGCTGAAGATGCAAATTCAGGTGCACGCACATACATATAATAAGTTCAAGGGAAAGAAGTCCAAGGCTACATCAAAGTCAAGTGGACAAGCATACCAGTTGGAAATCATGCGCAGTCTTGGCCTCTCTGACAGTGAGATAACCAAATTATGTGAAGCATCTGAATGGTTGAACTTCTTCCCTCCAATGGCAATGGAAGACCTCAAGGCTTTTGGCTTGGGATGTGACTGGAGCCGATCCTTTATTACTATAGACAGGAACCCATATTTTGATAAGTTTGTGGGGTGGCAGATGAGGAAATTGAAAGACATGGCTAAGGTTGTGAAAGCGAAACGTTATGCGATCTAATCCTCCAGAGTGCCAGTAAGTATTTGAAAGACTCGATTGATATAATGAGGAAGAAGCTTGAAAAGTACAAGTCAAATTTAGATAATGTTGATAAGAATGGTGCTCCAGTTACATCTTTGGTACAAGGCAAGAAGCTAATAGGCCTGATATATGTGAAGAAGCAATTTGATGAGTGGAAAGCAGAGTGCTTGAGGATACTCCAGAATAACTTCAATATAGAGACTCGTACTTTTGCTCCGGACAGGGTGATATTGGAGGCATTGCAGAGTAGTTCTCTAGGACAGGCGAAGGGTTTAAGACAAATCCAGAATCTTTGCATGCCTTTCGTGAAGTTGAAGAAGAAGGACGCAGTTCAACTTGGAGCTCAGGCCTTAGATTTGAAGTTACCATTTGGAGAGGTTCAGGTACTTGAAGAGAACATAGACTTGATTAAGAAACAACTCGTGCTTGAAGAGGTACAAGTTTTGTCTGCTACCAATCCTGATGATCGTGCAAAAGTTGGTCCTCATGTTAAACAGATAGAGCAGAATCCTCCATTCCCTAGAAGCCCAACTACGATCTTCTTGACCCGATAATTGTAATCCTTTTGGCACATATCTGGAACTTTTATCAGATTATTTTACTTACTTAGCATCTTAAGTTAATTGGATCTTATTTGAAGAATTCGTAATTCAGTTTTCTTACTCTCTTTTTTCGTGTCGTTTGCTGTTATGGTGTTTAGTAGTCGTGTTAGGAACCAGGTATTGTCTTTCTGGAGGAGGCACAGAGTTAGGAACGAATTAAGTGATAGATATGGTTGCCTGAAATGTTTTCTAACAAAACTGAAGAAAAATAAAGGTAACACCAGAAAATCCTAACTTGGTGCTACCAAGGTAACGGGTAACAACCACTTTTCAGGTTTCATGTGGAAATAAGGAATATATGACTGAATCAAATATGTCTCCATTTTCTCTTGATCAAAAAGAGAAACTATGAGGCAAATTTTTCTGATATTTCATTTGTTTGTAGGCTCCAGGAAATTCTTCCAGCAGAACTCCTTCATGATCGATGGTACTTTGGTTTCGGCTTCAATTTAACATTGGGATTGGAAGACAATTCCAATCGCCATGAAAAAGGACTAAATAAACATCCATGTGACTCGAAAAACTCCATTCTAGAAAACATAAGAAAGAAAAATAAACTAAGGGGCAGACTAACTGAACTCCCATTAGGAAAGAATGACAAAGTAAGTGAGCAATAAAGAAAAATAAAGGATTTTAAGAATCTACCAAATGTAAGTAGCTATAAGAGAGATTAGAAGCCTATAGAAGGAACAAATGCATTTGGATCATATCTAGTTAAGCTAAGCTAAGCTATAAGCCATAGGAATCCACGGTTGAACTTTAAATTTGTAGAGAAACCCATATGTTATATTACAAGGTGCACACACACACAGAGAAAACTTACTCAAAAGTGAAAATGCATTTTCATTAAATCTATGAGCTTTCAAGTTGCACTATGTTTTCTATTAGCATTTGCCAGTAATGTACCTAATTCTTTTATTCTTGTATCACCAACATAGAAATTATTGTCAAAACACACACACACACACTGTGACACCATAAATAGACCCTGTAAAACTAAAAGTGCCATTTTGCGTCATTAAACTAAGGATTTTGTGTTCCAAAGAAAATTTTGGGCATTTTTCTAGTCCTAGGATGTTTTCAGCACGTTTTAGATGTGTTACAGAAGTTTTTTTGGTCATTGGTTGAAGTTAAATGCCAGAAAATAGCAACATAGCTAAGTAGGTTCTTATTTTGGTCAAAATCAAAATTTCTGCCTAACGTATTTTTTGTTGTTTTTCAGGTCAATCTGACGCAACCGACATGTTTAGAATGGTTATTATGATGATTTGGACCAAGTTTCGGGGTCTCAGGTGGCCTACATTATGTTTGAGGATGATTTGAAGCTCAAAAAAGGACCTAAAACCCAAAAAACCCAGCTGCTGTTTTGCCCAGAAATTTGAAGATTTTTTGTCACCAAAGGTTTTTAGCGACGGATGTTATTTTTCGTGGCTAAAACTTTTCTGTGACGGTGTTCTTCAGATTTTTCGTCACTAAAAGTTAAATTTCCACATCAACTTCAGACCAAATGTCATCATGATCAGAGACATGTAGGAGTTATTTCGGGTCCGTTGACATTCCAAGGAGCAAGTTGTGCAGGTTTGAAATCATCTCGTTGTCTATCCTCTCTCACTTCGACATATTCTACGCTTTGCTACCCACACAAACCCGGGAAGTTCTCACACCCTCTCTCTCTCTCTCTTTAATTGATTTTGCATGACCTAACTATACTGCAAAAGTAGTTCTTCCAGCTGAGATGCTAATTGAATGAGCTGACAGGTTTCGAGACTTATCTATATTATAATTTTGTGTCCTGGTATCTCAATTTGTCTAGTTTCTTTTTCTCTAAAATGTAATTTTTGTTGATACAGAGACATAGAACACTGATTAAGCTCCATTTCTAATGCTGTTAGTCAAGGAAGCTTTTACAAGCAGAGCTTGTACTTGAACATGTCGGTCAAGATCGTGCACGCAAAACTGTGAGTTGATGCCTCGGAATCATATTATTCTTTGCTTGTATAACTCTGTTTTGACAGTCTCTTGACAGTCACTCATGTGAAACCATGCCTTGTGGATAATGCCACATCAAGAGGATGAGTTTACTTCATTTGCAGGACACAATTGTTTGTAAAGCCTTTACTTATTGATGTTTACCCTTTTTAGGCTACTAATTTGTTATTTATTGCTTGACTTCCTTAGGTAGACCTTTACAACTCAGGGAAGTGATGAGATCTTCATCTCGATTGTTGTGTTCGTCTTCCTTATGTTATTTTATATTTTAGGTACTTTTATCAGGTTCTTATTTACTCGATATGCACACACTTTCTTCATTGCAAAAGAGTTAACATTGGCTGTTAAGTGTGCATTGACTTCTATTGACCTATGCGCAACCGCTATGCTACTATTGATGCCGGGATGGGGGTGAATCACTAGGGTGTCAAGACCATGAGGTGGAGTAATGATGTATATACTTATCAAAAGGACAATGCAATAATGTAAATTATCATTTTTTGGGAGTTTATCAGAAAATTTGTTCAAGGTGTGTTTCGAATTACCAATAGTAATGTACTTTGCAATGGAAGAAAATTCCTTCTCTATGGTGTTTCATGTTTTTAGGACTGATGTGGATGCTGGACAGTGGTTTGGTTTCAAAGTTGCTGCTGTATGTCATTGTTTATAACCTACTTTACTGAATTTCTGTTTGGATTTGAAGGGGATTGTAAACGCACTCAGGCGAGGTCAATTGGAGTTGGAAGTTAAAGATGATATAATTGAGACTACTGTATTTGACTAATTCTCAGAGTCTGCTCCGGATTTCGTTATGTTCGATTCTATGTACAGATGGCTAAATTGTTTATGTAAAATTCTCTCCGGTGTTGATATTTGTTCCAGTGCATAATTTCCCATCTATTGTCTGATACGGTTGATTTAAAATTCTCATACTTTTGCTCCGGACAGGGTGATATTGGAGGCATTGCAGAATTGTTCTCTTGGACAGGCTAAAGGTTTAAGACAAGCCCATAATCTTTACATGTCTTTCGTGAAGTCGAAGAAGAATGATGCAGTTCAACTTGGAGCTCAGGCCTTAGATTTGAAGTTACCATTTGAAGAGATTGAGGACTTGATTAAGAGACAACTCGATGTTTGAAGAGGTACAAGTTTTGTCTGCTACCAACCCTGATGATCATGCTATAGTTGGTCCTCATGTTAAACAGATAGGGCAGAATCCTCCATTCCCTGGTAATTATAATCCTTTTGGTACATATCTGGAATTTTTATCAGATTATTTTACTCAGCATCTTAAGTTAGTTGGCATCTTATTTGAGGGATTCATAATTCAGTGTTTGTTTTATTTTCTTATTTTGTCATGTCGTTTGGTTTTATGGTAGTCAATAGTGGTGTTAGGAACTAAGTATTTTCTATCTGGAGGGGACACAAAGTTAGGAACCAATTCAGTGACAGATATGGTTGCTTGAAATGTTTTCTATCTTTGAATCAGAGTTCAACTCAGAATTTCTTCGATTCGATTCCGCCCCTACTTCAATTAAGGCTAGATTACAAGGTCATACTTTGATATGTTCATCACACCTCTCTTTGGCTCTTTCAATTCTTTTTATCTTTTAATTTCCTCTCTTTTGGATATGCATCTATCTATGAGGTGCTACCCTAGTAAAATATAAAGCGAGATCAGACCTTCTTGCCCTCCACTGCTAATTTAGATCAGGTGAGAATTAGATGTCTGGTTGATAAACAAAGATAATGCTTGTGACATGTTCTGTGGCTGTGGGCAGAAGGCAAAACTTAAAATGGGGGCAAAAGTTGAATCCCTTGTTGACTGAAGTACAAGGTCGGATGAGAACGAATCCGCGTCCAATTAGAGGAAGTTGCTCCCGCAAATGTCGTAAAAACAAATAAGATTTATGCGTAGCGAAATTAGGCTTAAAATTTCAGCCCACCACTTTTTCAAATTCGAATCTTGAATCCATGCCTCTTCAATTTTTTTTTTCCCGAGAAAAAGCGATAGTAATTTATTTATAAAACGAAATAAAGTACAGAGCAGTTATAATGTCAAATATGAGTACAACATCTCCAGTAACCAAACGCAAAAACAATTTAGGAGAGGAACAGCAAATCTATATTGAAAATTCAAACAGTAAAATGCAAATTTATTTTGTCGACTTATTATTTTATCATTTTTTTATGCACAATGTTCTAACAAGTTAGTTTCAAAATCACATTGTTTGATGGCTTTTGTTTTAGGCTGACCATATATATATAACTCATCTCACTTTGGCTTGACATGTGGTTTTGTTTGTAAACTAGAACCTTAACACGAGTTTCACTGAGAATAATTCGACTGTGGAACCCTAATCACTGGGGAAAAAAAAGAAAAGAAAA